ATTACAAATTTACATGTATTATGCAAACAATATATATATATATATATATATAATTTATTATATTTAAATTAAATATAAATAATATTTATTGTTTAAACTTTACCTTGGAAAATCTGTGCAAAGTTTTGAGACATTGTTAAGCTCTTCTGGAAGGTGGCAGTGAGATCAGTCACTGATGTAATCAGTTGTAATAAAGAAGAAGAGTGAGTTAATTAAGTAATGCTGACGACACCTCTGACATCTCTCTCTTCTCTGGCCTATGTGTCCCCGAACATTTACTTTCCTCCTTTTTCTACCTCTTCTGCAAATGTTCACTTTGAAGTTTGACTTTGATTGTGCTTCAGTTATAAAAATTCCTGGAGCGGATTCCTTCAAAGCTTGGAGCTTCCTTCCTTCCTTAATTTCTTTTCCTTTCTTAGGCTCCTCCTCCTGCGCTGTCACCTTACCAGGATGCAGGTTCCCGTCTGAGCCGGTTTACTGGAGCCGTTCATCACCAGAGACTGCAGCCAGCGTAACTGCTCCATCAGAGACCTGACAGATAGATGGAGAGAGTGCGCTCCAAGTTAGAGGAAGCAGTAATGGAACTTCCATTTGATGTGAACTTTAGAAGTGTAAAGTACAGAGTCATGCTTTAAAAGGGAACGGCTTCATCTAAGGACAAATATGCAGCATGTGGGAGGATTTCACAGCGCTGCAAAGTGTTTTGAAAATGTCAGTAGGGTTAAAATAAGTTTTGAAGTTCAGTCCATCAACCCAGATGCTTCTGTAGCTCATCAATATAGTCTTCAGAATGCTGTTAATTTGGAGCCAAAAGGATTAATCAAGAATCCTCAAAGTGTCAAAAAAGATCCTACTGACATTCTGATTGATAAATATTTTAATAGATATATAAACAGAAAAAAACTCACTTAATCCAAAAATCTTTATTGTTAAAGGATTGTTGTTTAATTTAATTTGGAATTGAAAATTATGATTCATTAAGAATTTTTTGACATGGGACTGAACATATTTTTAGTGAAGAATGGTACCGTACTTTAACAGGGTTTTACTGTAGCATTTTTACAGTCTTTTACCATTAATTTCACAGTCATTTTTTATAGTGTAGGACCAGTACACTTGTATGTAACTTTTAGCCCTCTAGCCGCTGCAGCATAAAACGGCAAGTTATTCGCGGAGGAACATTGTTCTGGTCATTACGTGAGTTGTGCTTCGGCTCCGCGATTCTACGCGGATGAATCTGATGCTTGAGGTGGATGATTGTGTTATCACTGCGGATGTCACTAATGACATCAAAACTCTCCCAATAACAAAAGAGAGATGGATTTCTGAAAAATATGAGCATGTAAGCAGCTGATATGCCATTGCTGTTTTCACAGTTGTTTTACATTACAAAAGTTTACCAACGCTTCAGACATAATATGCTATTCATATCAAATAATGGTGTAAACTATAACTTTGCAAGGCTATTTATAGGCAAATAGACCAATGCAGTATCTGTTTTAGAGATTAGCATTGTTACCAGCATAAACATTGTTTTGTGAAGCTAGTCAATGCACAGCAAAAGTGCTCTTGATTCGTGTTTTATAACGGGTGTCGCATTGCCTTTGCTTTCAAACTCTTTTTGGTTCGAATTTCAGTTGCTGTGGCTATAAGTTATTTTACATGCTATAGTTATAGTAGCCTGACCTGATTTCCTTTATTTACAAATATGACATAAACACGCACGGATGAATACCAGAAGTGTGCAGTTTCCCAGGAAATCCGTCCTGACAACTTTAAAATATGAATAATTATTAGAGATTTAGAGTAAGGCAAAAACATTGTTTGGAAGATGGTTTTATGATGTACTCACTCATTATTAATTTTAAACAAAAAGTTGCATAGGCCTATTGTAGCTTTAAAAAACTAAAAGAACCATAAGCCATGGTGTAAATCATGTAAAACGTATCAAAAATGAAAATATTGTGATGAAACGGACAAATTATGGTGTCTTTAATGCACATGAAAAACACATTGTCTATACTGTTTAAATGTGGTGAAAATGTGGTTATTGTAATGCACCACCGATCATGGTTTATTGTGCTATTTTATATTTGTTTTCACTCAAAAACAAAATAACCAATAAAAGACTGAAAGAAGAGACGTTTTGTAAATGAATCTCATAATGGAATGTGATTTTTATGAGGGATGGGTTTATTCATTCTATGTATAAAAAGTCATTCAAAATGTAAATATGAGATAATACATATGTAAAAATGTGATAAAAGTATTCACAAACAGCAGGAGGGAAAGCAGTGTCAAATGCGAATGATAATAAGCATCTAGCTATATAATCTTGCATGGTTCAAATACCAAAATAAATAGTTTTATGAAGGGAGGAGATCAAACAGGTTGTATGTCAGATGAAATTTTATGATATCATAAATCAGGAAATGGTAGAAGCTAGTCAAGATGGCAGGGATTTTGTGACATGCACTCATTCTCAAAGACTGTAGGAAGAAAAATGTACTTAATTTATTTTTAAGGAAATTTTACTTTCTTTTTGTGAGATAAGCAGTTTCAATACTGTGTTGGGCCACTTGATGTCCAATGTAAATCCAGATCCTGAAGCGAAACCAGTTGAGAACCACTGATTTATAGCCCTGTCATAGCGGAGACGATCTGATATTGTTGTAAAACGAGACTTACGTGTTGGTTTTCTCCAGCTGGAAGACTTTCCTCTGTAATTCCAGATTCTGAGCGCTGCAGGCAGCCATCCTAGACCAGAGTATATTGGCCAATTACTCACAGTGATAAATCTGACCTACAAACACTCCCACACACACTCTGTCTGTCACAGCAGGTGTTCACATACACACAAACACCCCCTAAATAGTCTATGTGGTGCTGGATGCATCAATAACATTAGACGATAATTCAATAATAATTGTTGGTCCAGTTGTTCTCATGAATGAGAGACAAATGAGCCGTAACACTAGATTTCTAATTTGCACAAGGACAGACATTGTAGAGACTTTGATGTGTTCAGATTAATCTAACTAAACATAATGTCCAGGTCACATTTCACCCCTAAATCAATAAAAACGAGAATATATACTAATTAAGTAAGGCTATAACTGATTTTATCCTCATTAATGCTGAAAGTCTCTTTCTTTTATGTGTAAGAGTCAAGCTGCAGCCCACAGGACTGAATAAATGAAAGTATTTCTACATAAACATTACAAATTTAATTAAAAACAGAGGATAAATCTCATCCGCTTCCTAACTTTCTAGCTTAAAAATGTTCTATTGACTTTCTGTTGGCGTCCTGATTATGATAAATGATTAATTTACAATTTACAAATTTATATATATATCTTTTTTATTGTCAAATCAAAAACTAGATGTTTTCTTTGAGGCCAGTACAATCCCACAGGTGTTTGTTAGCATAAGACGGTGACGTTCACACGACTGATTTGTGAATGTGTGAATTAAAAACAGCAAGATGGCTGTGGTGCTTTTAGTGACTGCAGCGCTGGCTGTGAAATGAGTTTGTCCTTTGGACAGATAAACCCACGGGCTCTTCCTTAAAGGGCAATTTCATGCCCCGAAATTTGTGCAGCAGTGTGTTCTAAATAATTTCTCCAGCCTCTCGGAGGATATTCGATTCCTTTGATCCTAAGTTAAGATAAGTTCGAGCCTGGATTTTTAATGACTTTCGACCTCAATTTAAACTTTACTGCAAGTTTACTTAGTAATGAGTTTTTCTTTGATGTCATATTCATTTATTCAGTCAGACTGTTTACTTGTACCACAAACAGGACATCTGAGGTGAATGCTTTTATTGTACGCAAGTCAGCTACATACTGTAAAGCAGTTCACAATAGAAATTACCATTCAAAGACTTGGGGCCGGTAAGATTTTTTATTGTTTTGTTTTTTTTTAATCTGAGTTTATTTAATCAAAAATACAGTAAAAACAGTATAACTGTTTAAAATAACTGTTTTCTATATGAATATGTGTTAAAATTTAATTTATTCCTGTGATCAAAGCTGAATTTTCAGCATCATTACTCCAGTCTTCAGTGCCACAAGATCTGAATGATCAGAAATCATTCTAATATGCTGATTTGCTGCCCAAGAAACATTTCTGATTATTATCAATGTTGAAAACAGTTGTGCTGCTTAATATTTCTGTGGAAACCATGATACACATTTTGATAAATAGAAAGTTCAAAAGAACAGCAGAAATGGAAGTCCTTACATAGAAAGCATAAATATCTTTTCTGTCACTTTTGATCAGTTTAATGCATAATTAATTTCTTTAAAAAGCCCAACCCTAACTTTTGAACAGCTATGTGTGTGTGTGTGTGTATATATATATATATATATATATATATGCGTATTATGTAATTTGATGTTTTGATGTATGTATATATGCATGTGTATAATCACCTGCCCTCCAGTCCATCTATATATTCCTTCTTTTTCTTGCAGCTCTCCTGCGCTGACTGCTTGTTGCGGATTTTCCTCCGAATCTTCTTCAAAATCTTCTCTTCGTACTAAAAAAAGTCATGAGAGAACAGGCCAGACAAAATATTAACATGAATTCATTTTGAAATGAGAGGGCTAACATTTCAGACATTTATTTTGATACAGATTTTATTAGGTCTGAAACCTCAGGCAGCACGTGAGTCAAATCAAATCAGTGTAATCTTGTCATTATCCATTACTCAGAGAGGAAAAACCTCTGCGGCGGAAAGAGAGGTGCCTTTCATCACTGACTTCATTCATCTCAGCCTCTGTAAAAGCCTCTTTCCTTTCTGCTGATGTCTGATCAGGCTTCCAGCAGTAAATATAGAGACACGGCGTAATGACATGTGTAGGACATGGAAAGGTTGTTACTGTGATGATATTACAAGTGGTCATGTGATGTTATGACACCATCGGTTACCATACGTAACCGAGACGGTATGAAAGATGCGTTATACCTTAAAGATTTTATATATACCAAGACGGTGCACTCTTATCACTACGAATGGGAGAAAGTGCAATGCAAAATATGGCAGAATAAGTCTCATCCTTTTAATAAAGACCAGTCAAGTTCATGAGATCAAAAACATCACAGTAATCCACAAGTGCTTCACATGACTCCAGTCCATCAATTCATATCTTAAGTGAAAAGCTGCATGTTTGTAAAAAAACAAAACCATCATTAAGGCATTTTCAATTTTAGACATCAATTGTGTCCAAAATATAAGTCCATTATCCATCCAGCTCCTGTTGTCTCTCACATCAAAATTCACCCCCATATATGTTTAAACCTGTTTTGGCTTGTAAACGGTGCTTGAACTGTGCATATTTCTCTCCTGATTCAGATTAGATTACTTTTTGACTGGAGAAACACCTTAATGATAGATTTGTTTTTTACAAACATGTAGCTTTTTGCTTCACAAGACATTAATTGATGGACTGGATATATACCAAGACGGTGCACTCTTATCACTACGAATGGGAGAAAGTGCAATGCAAAATATGGCAGAATAAGTCTCATCCTTTTAATAAAGACCAGTCAAGTTCATGAGATCAAAAACATCACAGTAATCCACAAGTGCTTCACATGACTCCAGTCCATCAATTCATATCTTAAGTGAAAAGCTGCATGTTTGTAAAAAAACAAAACCATCATTAAGGCATTTTCAATTTTAGACATCAATTGTGTCCAAAATATAAGTCCATTATCCATCCATCTCCTGTTGTCTCTCACATCAAAATTCACCCCCATATATGTTTAAACCTGTTTTGGCTTGTAAACGGTGCTTGAACTGTGCATATTTCTCTCCTGATTCAGATGAGATTACTTTTTGACTGGAGAAACACCTTAATGATAGATTTGTTTTTTACAAACGTGTAGCTTTTTGCTTCACAAGACATTAATTTATGGACTGGAGTGGTGTGGATTACTTGTGGATTATTGTGATGTTTTTATCAGCTGTGTGGACTCTCATTCTGACGGCACCCATTCACTGCAGAGGATCCATTGGTGAGCAAGTGATGGAATGCTACATTTTTCCAAATCTGTTGTGATGAAGAAACAAAATATTAAATAAGGGTGAGTAAATATTTTTAGCAAATTTTCCTTTTTTCTGTGAACTATTATTTTAACGCTGTTAGCTTTAATTTGCATTAGTTTGCAAATATGACTTTTCTTAAACGGTTTGGCTGGTTAGCTAGTTATGGCAGAGTTTCGGATAGAGGACATGGTCTAAGTGTTCAACATACCTTGTCAAGTGGCAGTTGGCTGGGAAGACTGACTCCTTCTTTGGCTAAAAGTTTCTTCTCATCTTCATTGAGAATCAGTTCTTGCTGGGTGGAGGGTTTCGACTAGACATAGAAACACATTTTGTTTCATGTTCTTTCAAATTTGTATAGCATGTGTTATAATTATTTCTTTTGAGAGCAGCCAAGGATATTACTAGACAGAGCTGCAAAGCACCACACGAGGACACTCTATTTAGTCTCAAGTACCAATGCACTGCATTGCATAATGACAACAAATCCTTTCAGACTCAGGAATTCAGAAAAGTGCTGCACAAATACATCTGCTCACTTGTTGTTTTTTTTCAGCGTACATCACATCACATAAATCAATGGCTCAATGCAGCAGCAAGCCAAACACTGAGATCTGTGGTGGTATTAAAGCATTGTGAAATGCACTAACAGCTCTCTATTGCGCTTTATGTTGCCCGGGATTGTTTACAGGTCATAGTCATTACCAGTGCACTACAGGAAGAGCTGTTTGATTGAACACATAGCCCACTCCATTCTAAACATGTTCAAAAAACACTATTAACTGCCTCGCTGTTTATCGTCTAGACAGGCTCCTTTCTAAGAATGCATTCTTACATAATGCGGTCTTGAACTGTTGTTTAATTGGTGGTCTATACACATACGACATGTGCTGTTGCATCATACCTCATTATGTATTTGTGTGAAGATAAAAGTTCAACTTTTAAAGGCCCCGCAATGTTCCATTCCATTTTTTTTTTTAATATATATTTTTTAACAGCATTACATAAATCAGCTCACTGATAACATCAGTTCACAGTTTGCATGCTTTCAGATTTGCTCTATATGCTGTGTCTTCAAATTTGTCTTTGGTTATTAGGGTGCATTTTGGCTATTAGCATCCTATCCTTGAGTTTTTAAGCTAAAAGCTTTTTTAAATGCTCTCGGGACACCTGCATTCTGTTGCAATCCACTGCACATGGCACTCGTTCTAGCTGTAACTGAACACACCTTATGTAAATAAGCTTCAGAACCTTAAGAAGTGCATATCAGGTCAACCTGAGACTGGGCATCCTTAAGATTGATTAGTCAGCTGGGCGTTTAGGCAATATGTTAAAATCAACATTGGGTAAAGCATTCAATTTTTTTTATTGTTTTTCATCTGTTCTTTTTAGTATTTAATTTTATATGTGCAGACAGAAGTTTGGAATAATTAAGAAAAAAGTCTTATGCTCACCGAAGCTGTGTTTATTTGATCAAAATACAGTAAAAACTGATATTGTGAAATATTATTACAATTTAAAATAACTGTTTTTATTGATATATATTATAAAATGTAATTTATTCCTGTGATCAAAGCTGAATTTTCAGCTGCATTACTCCAGTCTTCAGTGTCACATGATCCTTCAGAAATCATTCTGATATATACTAATGTGCTGGTCAAGAAATATTTCTGATTATTATCAATGTTGAAAAGCTGCTTAATATTTCTGTGGAAACCGTGATACATATTTTGATAAATAGAAAGTTCAAAAGAACAGCAGAAACAGAAGTCTTTACATAGAAAGCATAAATATCTTTCCTGTCACTATTGCTGAATCATATTTTTTTTTGTGGCAACTGCTTGTTGCAATGCATTCCGGGAATGCCTTATTGAAGAATGCATGTGAAGCCCTTGATTTTAGCCAAAATCAAAATGTAGTACACTGTAAAATACTACTTTAGTCTTTAAAAATGTAATGTATAATTCAAAGTGTTACTTGCTTTTTCTTTGCAATTTATTTTGTCTAGGTATCTGACTAGTTTTTGGAAGAGAGCTTTTTCTTTTTCTCTGTCATGTATTTCATCCTGAGTTCTTCCACATCTCCTGTTTTCCCGTATGAAATCTGACATCTCCGCTGCTCTCTCTGTCTCTCCTCTATAGAGCCGGTTGTCATTAGCATCCGTGTGGATGTCACACTAGCTGTATGTTTCACACTGAATGTCACAGCAGAACAGTTGAGTCACATACACTACGTGATGTCTGTTTGTGTTCTCTCAGTACTCACAGCTTCTCCGATGTTGGAGAGCAGCAGGTCTTTCACGGTGAGCTGGTAAACGGTGGCTGGTTGAGTTCTCGGCACTGCTGATGTGCACTGAGAGTCTGTCAGACCTTCAGAGAACAGACAGGCCTCCCAATCTGCTGCGCACACAACACACACACACACACACACACACACACAGAATGCATTTACATCACACTATGTCTGAAGACCAACAGACAACATAGATCTTTCATTTTCTGAGTGGTTGTTAGTACACTGCTGAGTGGTGTTCTGGTGCTTTCTAAGGTGTTGCTAAGGTGTTCTTATCACATTTATACATGGTTGCTACTGTTCTTGGGTGTTGCTAGGTGCTTGCTAAGATGTTCTGATGGTTGTTATCACATTACTATTTGGCTGCTACTGCTCTAGGGTGCGTTTCCACAAAGCATCGTTAGCTAACTATGGTCGCAAGTTCCATTGAACTCTATTGGTAACGATGGAACATGTGACCATAGTTGCTTTTGGGAAACGCACCACTGGGTAGTTTCAGGGCATTGCTATGCAGTTGCTAAGGTGTTTTGGGTGTTTGGTAGCACAAGTTACAGCGCGAACATGAACGTCAGAAGGTATGTTGAAAGAAACAGCACAACTTACCGAAATGTATCACGTTTAATGTAGTCGATCAATCAGCGTTTCAACCAAAAGAAAGACGTCAATGAAACAGCTGGGGAACAATATGCCACTTAACGTTGCTTTCACCTCAGGAAAGTTATCACAGTTTGTTGGTTAGCTATAAAAACACTAGAAGGAGCTTATTTACTGTTAATTATAAATGCAGCCTATGTTTGATTAAATCTGTCATGAAGACAAGATTTTCTAAAAACTAGGCTAATTTATGTGCAATTGATTTGTATGTACAAACATTTTTGAGTGTGATTATTATGTATATTAAATAATAGTTTTGTTGTTAATTTGAACTAATTTTAAATAGTTTACAGCATTAGTTGGGAGAGATTCTTTTGGTATCAGCATTGGCTGAGAAATCCAGTATCTGTGCATTCCTAGTTGATATTTGGTTGATAGGGTGTTTTGAGTGTTTTGAGGCATCTTGTTTGTAATGTGATTGTACAACAGAAAGACATTTGAAAACCACATTTGAATGCAGAAGATTGAACAGTGGGACATTTGCATCTTTTCTGATTGAATCTGAAATATGTAATTGGTTTTAAAATCACATTTTCAGCATTTGCAATTACTGAATTAGTGAGTTTCGTTGACCTCAGACCTGCATTAGTGGCAGAACCTCTGCTGCGGTGAAGCAGTAAGTAAAACTCAGATCAGTTATTACAGTCTGCTTCCTCTGGAAGATCACAGGCTTCTCCTGCCTGCCTTAGAATTATAAGTGTATTCATTTTGAACTCTGTTCAGGTTAGTGATTCTTCACTGCATTTACTCAGCTTTGAACTCTGAAAGCTTTGAGAGTCTATTGTGTGTTCTGATGGTTTTGCAGACCCTACAGGTTTTTATGATTGAAAGAATAAGTGGAAATTCAGCCAATCCCCACATTATTTGAGATAGCTTGCAATTTTGCCTTATTTCGGAAATTTTGAAGCAAGTCAATACCAGTTAATCAAGATCCATGAATCCCAGGTTAACCGAGATCAATAAAATGTTTGTATGTTTACCTGCAGGTGTATTACAGAAAATTACTTTGTGAAGTGAGCATCAGCATGGCCTACAGAGGTTAGTACACTTGAACAATATGTACCTGAAGAGAAAAAAACTTTTTTTTTTTCTGTTTTCTTACCGAGTTGATTTCTTAGCATAAATTCTAGTGTATAGTTACCCTAATTAACCTATTTTAATACGTATTTACATAAAGATTGTT